TATACCTTTCTACTTTAATAACAGTTCCATGAGCAAAACCTCGCTGGAAAGAGGCTCTGTTTATCACCATAGCGTCTTCCATGTCATAACCTGAAAGTTGAACATTTCACGAAGGGATAACCTCAAGTAGACTAATTTACCTGTATAAGAGATGACAGCCACGCAAGCATTTGTTCCTAGAGGATACTCATCCATTTCGTAACGCTCATATGCTTCCAATTTCAGCAAGGGACTTTGTGGGAACTAAATTCCATACTTTTGCTTGACAAACAACAAAGTCTCAATCTTACCTGTAATCTGTACATCTTATTGTCAGCTCTCGTATGCCATGCATGTACCGCAGTTCCCATAGTTTGTTTACCCATCTGACACTGATACACATTTCTAAACTACAATTCTCACGCTAAGTCACGTGGAAGGTGAAAAAACTCTCACCGTGGTGATTGATTATGGTCTGGGAATGGAATGAGATTTCCTGCAAAAGAAAACAAGCAACTAGGGTGCAATTCTTGGTGAAAGGTGACGCCTGGCTCTGCTTCATCTGGATCTATCACTATCGAAAGGTAGACTTGTTCGAAAGTACCTAAAAACTAAGGTCTTACTCCATACAGACTTCTCGACATGAATGAGCGAAGCCTAACCGATAAATTCCACTGAGTCAGTCAAAAGATTCCGTACAGGTCGTATCAAACGTGCTGGATCAGTAAGTATGTACAAGCCAGGATACTGGGTTTGAATGTTTTTCATGTCTAATGATCGACGAATTAGGGCTATCTGAAAGGGTGTAATCAGGAATATCATGGGGCCAGAAGAGTGAATATAGACCTCAGCCACGCATGGCACTCTAGTGTCCTTCACATCGGTTTTGATACAGCGAAGCTGCCTCTCAATGGATACGGCTTTTTTAATCGGTATATAGCCCAAAAACCGACCATCCAGCATAACCGGATAGTACTGAAAACGACACATGTTCTGACAGAATTTTTTGGAATAATCAAAGCGAATAACAGAAAAATATACTCGACTTTTTTATTGTTACTGCACTCCGAGCACAAAATCAAACAAAAAAAA